CTGTAGACCAGGCTGGCCTCGAACTCAGAAATCTGCCTGCCTCTGCCTCCCAAGTGCTGGGATTAAAGGCGTGCGCCACCACTGCCCAGCATATTCTTCATTTTTGAATCACTTGAACCCAATAGGTCATAATCAACCTGAGGAAAAAGGTAGGTCAGGCTCCATCCTGTTTCTAAGAAGTTCTCCAAGATGAGCATCAAAACCCACAGCAGCATGTTCTTTTCCAAAGACTCTTCCCCTGGTTCTTTCTGGGCTTCAGTCCTGGGGGACTAGCTTTGGCATTCTGGTTTGTTGAGATCCTTCTGAAATACGTATGGTCTAAAATGATGAAAAATCACAGTAGGCCCAGCCCTGCCTTCACAATGCCCGTATCCTGAGAGACCCAAACGCTGTTGCATTTACCCTAGAGTAAATAAAATCAAGCGTTTGCAAAGACTGTGTGGGCTTGACTGTGGGCTTCCTGAATGAATTCTGATACAGGATATTCTCTCTCTCTCTCTCTGCCACCCTCCCCCACCCCGATTAAAATTACCTACAACGATGCTGGACTACAGGATACATTCATTGAGCAAAGAAACGTGGGCCTTGCTTATCTGACGGATCGTAGGCATCTGATCATCTTGGACCTCACAGGCAACCTTTAAGACACTATTACGAATAGGTGGAAGCCGCCCGAGAGAGCCGGGAAGAGCGCGGGTCCTCGGGCGATCTCCGATTCCTTTAACTCTGGTCGCGCTCTTCCTCCGGCTCCCGTAGGGGAGTCGCCTCTCGTCCCCCGCAGCCCCTCCCCCGCCGCTCGGCTCAGCCTCCCCTCCTCCAGCTCCTCTCTGTCTCCCCCTCTCGGACAGCGTCCCCGTTCGGCCCGGCCCTCCCCGGCTCCTGTTTGTGAATGAGATGCTCAGTTTCTCAATGGAGCCGCGGGGGGCTCGGGCGGACGCGGCGCAGGCCGCAGCGCTGGCCCTGAGCCGGGAGGGGGACGCCTTTTCCTCGCTCGCTCGCACCCGCCCTCCCTGTCGCCGCCGCGGCTTTTGAGGAACTGGGCCGCGGGGCCACCGAGCAGATCGCAGGGCCCGCATCCCCGAGGACGCCCGGGCTGGGCGGTCTGGAGGCGCCGGCGAGCTCTGCCCGGGAGTGAAGAGGTTCAGGACGAGGCCGACGGCCGTCTCCAACTCCCGCCGGGCGCCTTCGCGGTGGGCCGTAAAAGTTGTGGATTCAAAAACAAAACAAAAAATCAACCAAAAAACAACAACAACAACAAAAAAAAACCCGAAAAACCAAACAGACCTCGAGCCGCTGTGAGTTCCTCGCCCGCACTTTCTCCTCCTCGGGAGAGGAGGGGTGGCGTGAGGAAAGGAGAGAGAAGCAAATAGGAGGCATTTCCTCTCGGCGGGGAGCGACAGCCGGTTCTCCGCGGCCAGCAGGAGCGGCTTGGGCAGCCGCCGCGGGCGCCGGGCGCTCGCACCATGCGCGAGCCGGCCGAGAGCTGCTGAAGCGCCGGGCCGCAGAAGCAGAGCGCGAGTGCAGCGGGCTCCGGCGCTCGCCCACCAGACCTGCCCAGGCGGCGGCGGGATGGAGCCGGCGACCGCGCCCCGGCCGGACATGGCGCCGGAGCTGACCCCCGAGGAGGAGCAGGTAAGCGCCGCCGCAGCGGTGGGTGTGTCCGAGCCTCCGAGGCCTAGGCCAGCCTGTTCGCCGGGCTTTGCTCCTCGCCCCGGGCCCTCGGCGCTCCCGCTAACATAGCAGGCCTGCGGGCTGGCCTCCCTGGGCCGGAGACCGCACCCCAGGCCGTCGCTCGCCCATCCTGGGAGCCGTGGGACCCCTGACTCTGAGCTTCTTCTGCCTCGGGACTTCCGGGGGAGACCTCCGTGCCGCTCCATTTCAATGACTATTAAAGTTCCTCGAACTGGGGTTAGGCTCCCCACTGGATGATTGCAGGACACCTTGTCCCAGGCCCTTCTACTCTCGGGAAGCTTTTGCTTTTTTTTTTTTTTTTCCTCTTGAGGGTCAGTTGTTTTCAAGGGCAAGGAAAGCCATTTGGGGGAGGATTCTTAGGTGGTTGTCTCCGTTCCCAAGAAGGGAGGAGGTAGCGCTGGTAAATAGGTGCCCCAGATTCTCAAAGGAAGCCCTTCAGGCTTTCAGACTGCTATGACGGGCCTACTTGGACAGATCCTGAAAGATTTGTCCCTTTTCTAGCTCCCCAAGTCCCTGGCCTTGACCTCCCTATCCTGCTTTCCCAGGCTAGGCTCTTCCCCTCGTCCCTATTTCCCTGCCCCCACCTCATCTGACAGTCTCCATCTTTCTGGAGCCCACATTGGAGTTCCATTGTCCCTTTTTAAAGCTCGTGACCTTAAATTCCCAGAAAGGAGTAGCTTGCGTTATCATTTGAGGGGGTTCAGTAAGGGAGAAGCCTAGCGCTCTTGTAACTTTCCACCCACCACCCCCAATATTCCAGCTGAGGAAACACGGACTAGCTGAGATTCAGAACCCTCCGGGCTGGGCTCTTGCTCATCTCTCCTTGGCACTGCTCGTACCCAAACATACGCTGTGCTCAAATATGGCCATAATCTGGTCGTACCTTAAAAAAAAAATAAATGAAAGAGGAAAAGGTGAGACACGCTGGTAATAACCCCTTTCACACTCTCTCTCGTCTTTGTTCACAGGCCCACATTTGCTAGCACAGTCTGTAGTGGGGAGGCAGTTGATTTTAAGAAACTAACATTGGTTTAATGGGTTTAGTTAGTACCTTTTTTATGGTTTATTTATTTTATTTGCATTGATGTTTTGCCTGCATATATGTCTGTATGAGGATGTCAGATCACTTGGAGCTGGGTTATGGATAGCTGTGAGCTGTCATGTGAGTTCTGGGGATTGAACCCAGGTCCTCTGAGAGAGTAAGTAGTCAGTGCTCTCTCCAAAAAAGCCCTTGAGTTTTCTTTTATCTTTTGTGGAAATGATGTGGGGTTTTTTGTTTGTTTGTTTGTTTGTTTGTTTTTTGTATTTGGCCCCAGACTATACTCTGGGACCTATACTTTAGATAAAGTCCAGCATGAGTAAAAAAAAAAAATTTTTAAAACACCTTTTTAAAAAAAAATGTAAATAGTGGTAACAGCTTGGTGACTGCAACAAGCTGTTTTCAAAATGCTAGTGAGACAGTGCAAGGAGCCGGCTCGGCCAGGACTGGGAATGCCACAGTACTAATGTGTTAGGCTGATTTTTTTTTTTTTTTTTTTTTTTTTTTTTTGAGACAGAGTTTCTCTGTGTAGCTAGCTCTGGCTGTCCTGAAGCTCAATCTGTAGACCAGGCTGGCCTCAAACTCACAGATACCCACCTGACTCTGCCTCCTGAGTGCTGGGACTAAAGGTGTGGGCCACCACCGTACCACAAGTTGACTTATTTTTATTTATTTATTTATTTATTTATTATTTGTTTATTTATTTATTACTCACCGAGTGACTTTTTTTTTTAACACGTTCATTATTTTTCTTTCATTCCTTAAAGATGGTCTTAAGATGTGTATGCTTCTATTGCACAGTATATATACCACTTTATATTGAGATGACTATGTTTCTATTGCATACTATATATACCACTTTATAATGCCTTCTCTTCTCTTCAGTTCTGAGGAGTGAATCCAGGGCTAAATCGCCAGTGTTCAGAGCAATTTTTATTTATCATTCTCTTTCACATGCATGACTATAGGCTCATGGAGAGTGGGACTTTGTCTTTCTTCTTTATCAAACACCTGGCCAACTGTATAATAATGAGGGCTAAAAATAAAAAACAAAATAAAATGCAGTCACACAGCGTCTTCAGGGAAGGTGGAAAATCCAATACTCAGTTTTGTTATTTTTCTTGCCATTCTTGATTTTAAAAAAAGAAAAAAAAAAGATTTTCCTCTTTTTTTTTTTTTTAGCAGTAAAAGCATTGTTTTTCTTGAGGAAACCCAGAGACAGTCATTTTTTCCTGTTTATTCTTTAATGGTCTTAATTGGTTTTATTATTGATTTTAGAGTTAGACAAGTCATAAAATAAAATAGATGTCCCTATGAGGTGAGAAGAGTTTGGTTTGGTATTAAAGTGGAAGAAAGAGGAACCAAGAGCTAACAGTGGATTGACCTTTTCAAGTTAACTGTTTGTTGTTGGGTGTTGTTGGGGTTTTTTGTTTTTGTTTGTTTGTTTCTTTCTTTTCTTTTTTTTTTTTTTTTTTCTTGAGACAAGGTTTCTCTGTGTAGCCCTGGCTGTCCTGGAACTCACTCTGTAGACCAGGCTGGCCCCTCGAACTCAGAAATCCGCCTGCCTCTGACTCCCAAGTGCTGGGATTAAAGACATGCGCCACCACCGCCCGGAGAGATTTTTTTTTAAAGGGACTTTTTTCATCTTACTTCCCATGGGGTCCATCAGATTTGAAGTGTGAGGCCTCAGCAAGGTGTGACGTGCACAAACCCCTGTAGCCCCTGTGCTTTGTGGAGGAGGCAAGATCAAGAACTCAAGATCGTCCCCAGCTTCCTTAGCAAATTGTTTTGAATATTTTATTTTTATTTTTTATTCTTGTATATGCATGTGCACATGAGTGCAGTTGCCCACAGTGATCAGAAGAAGACATTGAATCCCCTGGAGTTACAGACGGTTGTAAGCTGCGTGATGCATGTGCTGGGAAGTGAGTTGGGTCCTCTGGAAGAGCAGTGTGTACTCTAAAGCACTGAGCCATCTCTCGAACCTCTAGGGAGTGATTCTGAGGCTAGCCAGATCTATATGAGACACTTTTCTGGGCCTGGTGGCACATACCTTTAGGCCAGCACTGGAAAGGTAGAAACAATTGGATCTCTGTGAGTTTGAGGCCAGCCTGGTCTATATGGTGAGCTCCAGGTTAGTCACAACTACATAGTGAGAATCTGTCTAAAATAAAAAAGCATCCACGTTCTATGAAAGTGGCGTTAGAAAGGAAGTTAAAAACATAAAACTAAGAAAGTAAATACTTAAAGTAATGAATAAGGACATGCAATCCTCAGAACCAATGTATAATTGCCAGACCTGGGAGTACATAAGAATACTCTGATGTGGCCAGCCATAGAGGCACATGCCTTTGATCCCAGTGCTCAGGAGGCAGAAGCAGAGAGGCAGAGGCATCTCTGTGAGTCTGAGACCAGGACAGTTAGGGCTACACAGAGAAGCCCTATCTTGGGGGGAGGGGGGGGAAAGGAACCTGTAATCCACAGAATTAGTATTGTAACTGGAGGTTTCTTTCTCTAGCCTCAAAAAGAACAAATAGAAATTAAATAACTATGACCTAGGAAAAAACCCCAACCAAACAAAACCAATACTCAATCATGTCTGATTTCCAATGCCAGTCATTTCGAAATGTTGAAATACAAATATTATAGTTTCTTATTTTAGTTAATAAAACATGAAGTTTTTAAATGTATTTATTTATATAAAGTCAAGGTTTCCCTATGTAGCCTTGCGTGGTGTGGAACTTGATGTGCAGAGCGGGCTGGCCCTAATCTCACAGAGATTCACCTGCTTATTGCTTCCTTATGCTGGGATTAAAGACATGTACCATGCCTGGCTATCAGAGTATTCTTGAGTGTTGGGATTATAGGCTTGCTCCCTTATACTGGGCATAAAAGGTCTTCTTCTTCCTTCTCCTCCTCCTCCTCCACCCCTGCCACCGTCGCTGCTGCTGCTGCTGCTGCTTCTCCTTCTCCTTCTCCTCCTTCTTCTCCTCCTCCTCTTCTTCCTCTTCCTCTTCCTCTTCCTCTTCCTCCTTCCTCCTCCTTCCTCCTCCTCTTCCTCTCTCTCTCTCCCTCTCTCTGTCTCTCTCTGTCTATCTCTCTCTGTTTTTTGTTGTTGTTGTTTTGTTTTAATTTTTTTTGAGACAAGGTTTCTTTGTGTAGCCCTGGCTGTCTGGGAACTCGCTCTGTACACTAGACTGGCCTTGAATTCAGAGAGCCTCAGCATCTGCCTCCAGGGTATTGTGATAAAGGTGTGAGCCACCACATAAGCTATTAAAGGTATTGTTAAGGCCAGTCTTGGTGGCACTGGGGAGGCAGATCTCTGAATGACTCTCAGGCCAGCCAGGGCTACATAGTGAAACCATGTTTCAAAAAAGAAAAAGATTTAAAAAAAAGAAAAGAAAGAGAAAGAAAAAGAAAATTATTAGGTTAGTTGGTTCTTATATTTTTGTGTCTATTTGTTTACTTAATTTTTCATGGAAAGTGGTAGAACCTAGAGCCTTTTACGTTTGAGGCAGGCACTGAGCTGTTCTCTGTCATGGAACTCTATTCTGTAACCAAATAGATTATACTGGACTAGCATATACTCAAAGGGTTAGTCTTTTTGAAATGTTTCAACTGCTTTATAGCTACTTGTGGACTACTTCCTCCTTTGGACACTTTTCCCTGTATAAAATGTATCATCAGGCTTTCTTAAGTATCTCTTGAATTTCTGAGCTTCAGGCTGTCACCCTGACTATGATCACAATCACCCTGGTCTAGATTGCTGTCTTATCCTAGTTAGAGTTTACCTTAAACACACACACACACACACACACACACACACACGCATGCATGCCATGGCAGGAATGTAGAGGTCAGAGGAGGACAGCTTTCAGGAATTGGTTTTCTCCTTCCATCA